GTCTGTATTGTACAGGCGAAGACATTGCTTTGGGAGGTTAAGCCTAAGATGATAGGCTTATAAATGATCAGTTATTGCCCAAACTGGGACATTTTAGAGTGTGAAAGGGGCTGCTATTATTTGTTACTCCAGGATAACAGGGGCAACTAGGACTGTCCCCAGCAAGCCAGGATGTGTGCTTGTCCTACTTAAGTAACTCACCCAAGCTAACAGCTAATCAGTGGCAGAGGTACATTCTGAGTGCTAGGCTTTCTGATTCCAACCAGGCTCTTGCCTACCCTGTCCTGGAACATCTCATCCACATTAGCCTTGACTCTTTTGTTCTGCCAGCCACTGCCCCACTACACTGTGTCCTGAGCCTGTCAGCATTTCAGGGCCTCTTAGCCAGCTCGTTGCCACTTGGTACACTCGGTTCTGCCGTGCCGCGGCTGCACTGTCACCAGTAGCTCACTGAGGCTCCTGCTGACATCCTGAAGGCACACTTCCATGTGGTTGGTGGCAGTGGTATGAGCACTTTAGTCTCAGAAATGGGACTGTTCTTTGTTTGCTGATTCAAGAAAATTACCCAGTGTGTACGTCCAAGACATTTGCACTCTAGGCCGTAGAGAGAACACAGACAGGTGAGCTGGAAATGATAACGGAGAGTGATCAGTGCGGTGAAGGGCAAGCACAGGGTGTGTAGAACGCACAAGAGGGGCACTCAGCCCGGTGGGTCTGGAGCGGGGAGGCCTCCCAAGGAAGGGTTGTCAGCAGGTGCTGAAAGCTGAGTAGGGTCCAGGAAGGAAAAAGGCCAGTGGATTATCGGAGGAGAAGGTTTGAGAGAGCATGGCACAAGGTGGGAAGGCACAGACATTGGAGTCAGACAAGTGTCGCTTTGAGCCCTGGTGTCTTAGATTCGATGTTGGAAATGTTACTTTATTTCTCTGGCCTCCTTTGACTTATCTGTAAAATGGGAATTCTACCTGCTTTGCAGGGTATGTTTGAAGCAACCCAGAACATGGTTGGCTCATGTTTGATGGCCATTAAATAAAAGTGATTGTTGTTACTGTCTTCACTTAATTATGTCTAACTGTAGTGTACACGGAAGGAGAGAGTGAGTGGTGAAGCAGGGGAGGTGAAAAGCTGGTAAATGTCCCTCTCCCCAGTATAGAAGCTCTGAGACATTTAAGCATAGAGGCCACGCCATCTGATCTGCTCTGTAGAAAGATGACAGTAGCATCAGAGGAAGTAGCATTTGGAGAGGAATGAGCCTAGAGGCAGAGTGATTATTGCAGTGATGCAGGTGGGAATCCATGGTGGCCATTCATGCAGCCTTAGCGACTGGAGGGATGTAGAGGAAAGGATGGTTTAGAAACATACTTAGAAGGTGGAGTCAATAGCACTTGATGCAAGGAGCCCAAGGGAGAGGAAGACAGATGCATGAATATTTTGTGGATTTCTGGTTTTAAGCCATTACAGTTGATTGTAGGAGCCAATTAGTTTGATATTTGAGGTGCCCATGAGGAACACTGAGGTAGAGAGGTCCACTAGGCAGTGGTGAGCTCAGAAGAGCAGTTGGATCCAGAGAGGAGAGATTTGGGAACTCATCAGAGAGCAGAAGGAAGGTGAATTAATGGGAGTGGGTGAGAATGCCCTGGGAAAGAGTGTGGGGGGAAAAGAAAAGACGATCGCGTGTAAGGAAATACAGAGAAGTGGAGTCCACAAAAGGGACTGAGACTGAGTAGCCAGAAAGCAAGGGGAAAGCCAGGAGAGAACCCAAGAGAGAAGAGTCTCAAGTCAAATATGAGTGAAAAGTACTCACTGGTATAGCAGACCGGAGTTCCTTGTGAAGGAAGGGAGCGTGGAGTGTGAGCCAATTTGGAAGTAAAGTTTGAAGTGGAGTGACTAGTTAGCCCTGGCCTGGGGAAGGTCATGTCTTCCACTCGAGGCAAGGAGGTGGGTATGACAGGTTCATTTGCTAGGGAGGAAGAAGGAAGAAGGTGTGTGGACATTGCCTACTGGCCTCTCGGTTCTCTGTGCCCTGCACACCCCACGGGAGCTCAGGGCCAGGCTGTGGGCAGAGGATTGAAGAGGTGGGTGTGGGTGTTGAAATATTCAAGGGAAAGATTTCAGGTCATTGTGGATAGGCCAGTGGGGGTCTTATCCCTGCTCCTCCCTTCTCTTTACCCTTCACATTGATTGTATATGTGTGTGCACATGTGTGTATCTGGGTATCTTTGTATCTGACAGACATCAGCATTGTAATTACCTAGGGGGATAAGCTCATTATTTGGGACACATGATAACTCTTTAATAAAATCTTCTTAAATATATAGTTTAACAATTTTTGTGTATTACCTTGATGTAAATAATAGATTTTATACTATAACCATTACGTGAATAGGTAGATGAGATGATCTTGTTTCAGTCTAGCTCTAAAATTCTACTACTCTTCATATTCATAACTTAATTTGTAAAATATGCATTATTTCAAAAAAAAAGATCAAGAGCGTTTCTGGTAGAAATTTCTAGTTATTTCACCTTTTTAATAACGCGAGGTTTCAGATTAAGAGAAATTTATATTCTATGAATCTTATAGTACTGGCATTCCAACAAATGACTTAATGCCCAGATGATATTTAGAGGGGTGCGACACCCTTAAAACCAATAACTTTATAACTTAGATTTTTATTATTTTTATTATTACTTAGGATTTTTATTCAATTTAGAAATTGTTAAATAGTTTGAAAGCTGAGTTGGAAAATTAAAGGCTTTGATACATCATCAGCCCTTAGTTCTGGGATACTCAGACTAACAGCTGTCTGATCTCAAGGCCAGGACAGGGTTCAGTGTGGCTGGTTTTGAGTTAACCCCCCTGATCCTTAGGGACTGGGCCAACAGAGGGGTGTTCGTGCTCATTAGCTCATAAAGGTGATTTCTTAGATTACGAGGGGCTGTAGACTGTACTCACCCAAGTACATCACTCATCTCTCCCTGACTTCATGGCTTATTTTTCTTAGGGAAACCATTTATTCTGTGCAGTTCCCATTGTATTTTAATCTGGAAGGAATTTGCATCAGAGGAAATAGTTGAAACCCCACAAGAAATAGACGTGAAATACTATTGTCCTTTTGCTTCATTGTTGGGATTATTAAGTTACTTCATATTTCTGAAAATTCACTAACTGGAAAAAGTTCAATTAATTTCTTGATTTTTGTGTTAAATACAGTATCTGTTGAGATTTTTATTTAGTAGTTTTACACCTGTGTGGAAAATTTCACGGGAATTTTTAAAGCTTGCTACCCATTCTTGGTAGTTATTATTAGAGTATGAGTTTTAAGTATGTCTTCTGTGACTTAAATGTGATTGCTACAAGAGCTTAAAAAGAAAAAGAGGATTGTTTTTAATGCCTTTGGATTGTCTTAATGAAACAGTGATTAATTTGATATGAAAATGCCATGTTAAAATTAACACCCAAGTTGTAGCTTCAACGTTACAAGCTTTCTTTTGCCCTTTCTTTACACAGGCACATAACAGTGTGAGCTTAAAAAGGAAAGTTCGAGAACAAATCTTATCTTTTGCGTTTCCTGACTTTGGTAATTTCCTGTGACCTATAAGCTATTTATGTAAAACCAAAGCGCGTGAGGGTCACAATGTTTCAGTAGTGCAGTGCCCTCTAGCTATGATTTAAGGAATTGGATACCCAGAGTAGTAACTAGTATCATTTATTATTTAGTTCTCAGAGGAGATTCTGTTTATACATCATTTATGTATTTCTTGGGCTGCTGAAGATTTTAATAATTTTATTACAGAGGAAACCTTATTATATGGGAAGTAAATTTTAAGGTATTGAACATTTGGTCTCTAATTAGCCCTATAGCTTCCTTTACTAAATTATGAACTGTGTACACCAAGGGTTTTGTTGGAGGAGGGCAGGTCAGGCAGTTAATTTTACGATCCCTAAGGAATTAGTTTTTTGGTTGCTGAAAATGACAACTAGACAGTCAACATAGGATCAGGCAGGTGGAAAAGTGTTCACGTGATTTGAGTTTTTTGTATCTTGCTTTTGATCAAGAATTATCCAGATGGATGTGTACTGATCATATTGTCCAAGTAGTTGCCAAATATCTATTTAGGATTTAACTAGTTGTCATCAGTGATGACAACTAGACAGTCAACATAGGATCAGGCAGGTGGAAAAGTGTTCACGTGATTTGAGTTTTTTTGTATCTTGCTTTTGATCAAGAATTATCCAGATGGATGTGTATTGATCATATTGTCCAAGTAGTTGCCAAATATCTATTTAGGATTTAACTAGTTGTCATCAGTGTATAATTTAAATTCTGTTTTCTCTACCATTACCTCTCAGAAGTAGTTCTTCATTCTAAAGTCCTCCAAAGAGCTCAAGACTTGCACACTTGCGAAAGCACCAGGCGTAAGACTGCACAAGCATGCTACCAAAAGGTCATCCATTGGTGTATTTTCAAAAGTATCAGATAATCTTCCCCTTTAAAACATATTTTGTCCCTAACAAAGGAATACTTTGAAATTCAAGCAGATTAACCAGGAGATTCGAAATTAACATTGGCTGTATTTTTGATGGCTCCCAAGTCATCTGTACCCGCAGAGTACAGAAAATGCTTACAATGGACTTTGTTTTGATCTCAGTGCATAAAACCAGGATGCCACCTCAGTCATGGCTTTCATTAGCACATGGGCCCTGGGGCAGGTGATTTTTATGTATCCCGAAGCATATTCTTTGCTGCTATATTGAGAGAGGTTACTGTTCTCCTGATGAAGGAGGTTTGGGACAAAGAGTGGGTGGTGACCTTTATATGTGGAATAGCAAGGAAGTTCATTTTATGATTAAAATGTTTTTGAATCGTTCGCAGTGGTGATGTTAACATTTCTTGCCAAGATATTTTTCTTCTGTGGTCTGATCTCAGGCTAATGGAGTGATGTTCTTGGAGGAATTCTGAGCACTGTATAATTGTCTTTGTCTTGTTGCCATTGTTTTCTAGCATCCTCCAGGACAAATAGCAAGGAAATACAGCTCCTGCTCCACTATTTTCCTAGATGATAGCACAGTCAGTCAACCAAACCTCAAGTATACAATTAAATGGTGGGTATACAGATTTTTGCTTAACTGAGTGCATTTTCTATTCCTGAAAATATTTCCGTTCCTGATTGGCTAAGCTGGTTGGATGTGGGGTCAGGCAGTGACAAGATTGGGTGGGCGGGCATGGGGAGAGCACTAACAGTTCAGGAAATATTTTTTAAAAGTGATTTTGGTAATTAAAATGTGAAGTGTTCAAAATATTTGTGCATATTGCTACTTACCTAAAAAGACCAAAATTTCAAATTACTTTAAATGTAGATTATTTGAAATGTATTTTTGCTTTTTGTGCATACTTTCTACCTTTTCACTTTTTGTTGACACCGTCCTGGCATAACTCTGCTAGTATTTTACCTCCTGAATAAAACAGTGCTGGTCCCAGTTTAAGACTCAGGACTACAGTAGAAAGCCTGCCTGGCATAGTGAAAGTGTACTTGCCTGGGGTCTGGAGATCTGAGTTCTAATCTTGGCTCTCTCACCAACAGGGAGGGTTTGGGTAGGGCCCTTTTCTATGAGACCTTTAGTTCCTTATTTTAAAATGGAGTTTTAGAGGGAGGAAGGGGACTCTTTGGATGAAATTCATTCCCTTTTGGGGCTTCCGTTTCCTTATTTTAAAAGGGAGGGAGCACTTTTTTTCCTGTAATGTTCCTGCTAGCATTGTGGTAATAACAACCCTTGGTAGGGATCACAGAGAATTTGATGTGCTGGAGTCTATGGCCAGCAGCTAACCTGTGAAAAACCTGGGACATTTTATCTCTACACTTGTTGAAGAAAGTCTATATTTAACAACAATACAAGTTAGCATATGAAATAGGTGTTTAAATGTGTAAATAAGAAGTATTATTCTCTGTCAATGGGCCAGGTTTTCAGGCTTAAAAGCCCTGTTCTGAACATGACCATATGAGACAGTCATGGCCTCAGTCAGGCTGTAAGGACTGTGACCATCTTCTATGGACAGTGTCCACTCCAGGTGGAAGACGAAAGACGAGACCAATGGATAGAGGCTACCTGTTTATATACAATTCCTTTCTCCCCCCGTAAGCTTGTGTGCTTCCCAGGTCCTACTGGAAATGTACCCTCTTCCCTCATTAGCCCGGCATTTAAGGGCATGGTAAATGGCTAGTGAGCATAAGCCCGAAAGTCAGCAGTCGCAGCTGGGAGGGTTGGATCCTTAGCTCCACGGTGCAGTTACCTGTGTGACCTTACCGTACATTACTGCTTAGAAATGCGAGGGGTAGCACCTCTTGGAAGTACTTTCTAGATTAGTCATTAGTACTTGTGGAGAGAAGTGGAAGGCCCTGAAGATCTGTGCACCATGCGGCTGTTGGCATCTGCTCAAGCTCTGAAGAGCCTACAACGAAAGCTACTAACTTGAATCCTGGGATCCACTTCATAGGAAGCGAGGCAGAATAAAGTAGGAGAGTTTCACTTCCAGGGGCAGCAGGAGCTCTTGGGATTCACAAGTGGATCTGACTCAGTTGCTCAATGCTTTTACCCTTAGATGATGTAAGATTGTCACTGGTTGTGATATAGACACTTAGGAGCCTGGTGGGAAAACTGACTGACAATTTGGTAGTGCATTGGTCAAGTCGAGGAAGTGCAAGCACCTAAGTTACAAATGTGTGTCCATGTAAATCACTGGTTCCAGCCCTGGCTGCACCTAGGAGTCACCTGGGAGCTTAAAAACACCCTGAGTTTGGGCCGGCCCGGTGGCGCACTCGGTAGAGTGCGGCTCTTGGGAGCTTGGCGGTGCTCCCGCCGAGGGTTCGGATCCCATATAGAGACCGGTCTGCTCACTGGTTGAGCGCGGTGCGGGCGCGACACCGAGGGTTGCGATCCTGTTGCCGGTCGCGGTACAGGCGCGACACCGAGGGTTGAGATCCCGTTACCGGTCACGAAAAAAGACAAAAAGGAAAAAAACAAAAACAAACAAAAAAACCCACCCTGAGTTTGATGTCTTCCCTATAGATCCTGATTGAATTTGTCTGAGGTATAGTCTTGGTATCTGGATTTTTAATTCTCCCCAAGACATTCTAAGGGCAGCCAGGGTTAAAGACCCCTGATGTAAAAGGATAGATGCCCTCTCTTCCCCCACCAATGTCCCCTTGAAACTTTGAAAAAAACTATGAGTTCATATGTAAAGGATAAAGGAACTGAAAAGCAGGAACAACTAAAATAGCTGACTGTGGAGACAAAATATTCAATGCAGATACTGTGGCTTTCCTGGCCCAAAAGACGTTTACTCTGCACTGCCCAAATTTGAAATTCCTTCAGTCAGTAGTTCAGTTGCTTTAAAAAATATTTTCTTTTTAAAATGTCCATTTGAGATCTGGGCAGGGGAGGCCCTAACTGAAGTAGTGCTATCAGACTCCTTCCCTGTAAATACCAGCATCTCACACTTGGCTTGGTTATGAGCAAGGAGCAGAAGGATAAAAGACATTTTGAGGTGTTAACAGACCTGGGTGAGTTCTTCAGTCTGGGGTTTGACAGTATAAGGGGAGAGGGGTACTCAGAGGTAAAGTCAAAAAGTGGGTAGGAAGACACTAAATCCAAATGCTATTTCATTCTAAAATTTTGCCTAAACCTTACCCTATGCCTGTCAAAAGGAAATTCCTACTTTCATTTTTGCTTTTTCCGCCTCCGCTAAATCTAAGGCCCTCTTGCCCCCTACCCCTGACATTAAAATTGATCACAGAATCATTAATACTGTAGTTTATTTCCATTGTAGGCATAAGTGAGCATTTGTGGGCCAAACTTGCTTCCTGAAAACCAGTTATAATCTCGTTTCTGTGAGAGAACTCTCTGGAGTTCTAAACAACTGACTCGTAAGCTAATTTTTGACAGACAGCCCACGTGTATATTGGTGATTGCCAGAGTTAATGAACATATTTACAGATTCTAGTTGGGGGTGGGATGGAGGGTTGAATGCTAGTCTAGCGGTGAAAGAAAAAGTATCAAAAGTTGAGGCAGTCATTCTACGCTCATTTTGTCTGTCAGCATAATTTCTTATTTTAAGAACTTGATTTTCCCATCTTTCCCCTCAATGCCAACAGCCGTGGTGTGAATTCAGAGTGTGCCAACCACTCACCATGCCTCTGGAACCATCCCCAGCCCACCAAATACTGTAACAAGCATAGGAAGGATGATCAGAGAAAAGGGTGGGGGGTAGAGGGGAGCCCCATTCACACAGTGGGCCAGGTTATCCGTGGCCCTTGGCCACGAAGGTCAGAGAGCAGCTAATTGCCCACTGGCCTCTAACTCCGTGCTTTAGCTCCTCTGCAGCACCAGAACTTTCCACCTCTTGATCTTCAGAGGTTTTAGGACAGTCATGTGCTTTGCTGATTTTAGCTCTAGGTAAGAAGTAAGACAACTGCAGTGCCAATAATCACACATCTGTTCTGTTTTCTTGGGCAGGAAAATAGCATATTCTTCCTTCCTAGCTATGTGGCAAAAGCAGCTGAGCAAACCCTTTAATCCAAGTGTACTTCTGTGCTCTGGTTTGGCTCTGGCCTCTCCTTGGGGAAACCTCACCGTTTTCTGAGGACGTGGCAGAACTGACCAGGCCTCTTAAGCTGGGCACTTGGAGTGAAGCCTCAAGTCCGGGACTGATTCAGTTGTCAACTGACTGCCTTTTTCCCCAGCAATCACTTCTGTCTAGATGACCAGCTCAACTGGCCTGTGGAGCTCTGTGACACATGAATCCCCGCTTAGTGTTCTCACTTTCCAGGTTATAACCTTGAGTGGAAATTGGCCTACAGAGTGGCTCTATTTTTCCCTGAGGTCTTAGGCCATGATAATGTCCAGGCCCAAAAGACGTTTACTCTGCACTGCCCAAATTTGAAATTCCTTCAGTCAGTAGTTCAGTTGCTTTAAAAAATATTTTCTTTTTAAAATGTCCATTTGAGATCTGGGCAGGGGAGGCCCTAACTGAAGTAGTGCTATCAGACTCCTTCCCTGTAAATACCCATCTGTTCTGTTTTCTTGGGCAGGAAAATAGCATATTCTTCCTTCCTAGCTATGTGGCAAAAGCAGCTGAGCAAACCCTTTAGTCCAAGTGTACTTCTGTGCTCTGGTTTGGCTCCGGCCTCTCCTTGGGGAAACCTCACCGTTTTCTGAGGACGTGGCAGAACTGACCAGGCCTCTTAAGCTGGGCACTTGGAGTGAAGCCTCAAGTCCGGGACTGATTCAGTTGTCAACTGACTGCCTTTTTCCCCAGCAATCACTTCTGTCTAGATGACCAGCTCAACTGGCCTGTGGAGCTCTGTGACACATGAATCCCCGCTTAGTGTTCTCACTTTCCAGGTTATAACCTTGAGTGGAAATTGGCCTACAGAGTGGCTCTATTTTTCCCTGAGGTCTTAGGCCATGATAATGTCCAGTCTTGCCTTTGGCTTGAGAAGAGATAGTGACCTCGGGGCCCTGAAGATTGTCGCCCACTCTGCAGAAGCCAAAAGACCTCTTGATAGAGGAATAACAATGATAAAAGTAACTTTTGCTTTAGAAATTTATATTTGGTATAATGCTTCTATATATTTTATTTCATTTGGTCATAGTAACAACTCTGTGATGTGGGTTGTATTGTCCTGATTTTGTAGTTAAGGAAGTGAAGGCTGTGAGAGGTGGGTTAACTCTAATAAATGAAGCAGCCAGGTTTTTTTTTTTTTTTTTTTTTTTTTTTTTTT